TCTACTGGTAAGGGGTGTTGGGTTAAAGGTCAGTCAGGTCGGCAGTAAGGTCACCAGGGACAAGCCCTTACGCTGCATCATTACTAGTCTAGAAACAGCACCATTAGGCTCACATTTCACCCAGGCCAATCCCTGCTGCATCATTACTAGTCTAGAAACAGCACCGTTAGGCTCACATTTCACCCAGGCCAATCCCTGCTGCATCATTACTAGACTAGCAGCAGCACCGTTAGGCTCACATTTCACCCAGGCCAATCCCTGCTGCATCATTACTAGACTAGAAACAGCACCGTTAGGCTCACATTTCACCCAGGCCAATCCCTGCTGCATCATTACTAGACTAACAGCAGCACCATTAGGCTCACATTTCACCCAGGCCAATCCCTCTGCTGCATCATTACTAGACTAGCAGCAGCACCATTAGGCTCACATTTCACCCAGGCCAATCCCTGCTGCATCATTACTAGACTAGCAGCAGCACCATTAGGCTCACATTTCACCCAGGCCAATCCCTGCTGCATCATTACTAGACTAGCAGCAGCACCTTTAGGCTCACATTTCACCCAGGCCAATCCCTGCTGCATCATTACTAGACTAGAAACAGCACCATCAGGCTCACATTTCCTCCTGAACACCTATATGAAGACCTTAGGGCCCATAGACTGTGGCGGATGGGGAGGGGGGCTGTATGCAGTCCTCAAACCTGCCCAAGAAGGCCACCCAGGGGTCCTGTATACAGTCAAACCTGCCCAAGAAGACCACCCAGGGGTGCAAGGTAAAGGACAGGTGAACAGGTGGCCTTCTTGTCAAGTCATTTAATGCTTGCACCTATGGAATAAATTGGAATCAGGAAAAGGTGGTTGTTTGAGTTTAATTTTCATTGATCTCTATATCATAATTATGTATGGTCTAATTGGAAAGGGAAATACACCAGATTTTCAGATTTACATTTCGATTATGTAGTGTTCTAAGAATGATTTTAAGAGCTGGGGGATGCAATTTGCCAAATCCGACATTGTTTCTCAGAATAACATGTCAGTTTTACAATGAACATCTACTGTACTTAATCTAAATTAATGATGACTAATTGGACGGAACACTGATTGGACAGAACGACACAATCATGTTTAATTCAAAATTGATGAAGTTGACCAAAGTTTTACGACCTCAGAAATGCGTGTACATGTATTGGCCATCACGCCTCATTGCAACGCTTCAGGTCGGAACAAGTGTAGAGGAAGTGATGACTGTCATTACGTCCACACTCCCTCAAGATTACAGGACGGGCTGTCTGGGGAAGCCTGCAATTCTATACACACAAAAAATGGTAATCTCATTTCTGAAAGGTATTCAGACAAAATCCTGCAGTGCTGGACCCATGTATGTACAGAACGCTTCCTCTGTAAGTTGTATATTAGGGGAATTTCCTGTAGTGGAAAGCTTCCTTCCATGGGGAGCCTGGCCTGAATCTGGACATTTCCCGACTCGTTTCCTGTCATAATTCTCACTAATAAGCATGACATCATGAGAAGGCATCTGCCCTCTGTCTGCCCTTTGTCCTAAAATGTCGGCCATGGCACCAACTTTACTACCAGCCAAATCATTATTGTGCCTAAGATGTTCTCTATAGGAAACAATTGCAATACTTCGCAAGGTTTAACAACTGATATGCCTACACACAACTTGGCATGACTTGCCTCACTGTACTATATTAACAAAGAAGTTTATCCACCAACTTTACTACTAGACACATCATCACTGCACCTATGTTGTTTTCTTCACATGCAGTACATGTACTTGCAATACTTTGTAAGGCTCAACAACTGATATGCCTACACTGCATGACTTGCTATGACGTACTATAGTATAATAAAGAAGTTTATCCACCAACTTTACTACCAGTACCAGACACATCATCATTGCGCCTATGATGTTCTCTACACAGGCAACACTTGCAATATTCTGCAAGGCTCAACAACTTGATAAACCCACACAACTTTCATGACTTTGATGAAGTTGATCACTTACAATGTAAATGTACTTCTTACTGATGTTTTGCTTTTCATTTATTGAATCCATGATTTGTATTCTCATATGATGGTTAGAAAAAGCAGACTAGAGATTTTTATTTCTCTTTGAGATGTTCCATCCTAAACTTAAGAGAACTGTTTGTTGTTGGCAGATACATTTTTGAGCTCTAGCAGCTGAGTACTTTCTACTTGAGACATGTTTTCTCCCCTCCAAACTCAGGATCCAAACAACAGTAATGAACTGTGACAAACTTTCTAGCAAAACGTGATCCAACGCTCCAGTCAGCAGTCCACACTGTCCCACCCTGCACCCATCATTACCTACACTAAGACATTACGGTGTGGGGTAAACAGTAAATGATTGGTGGTGTTGTGAGTTTGCCCTGACCCCCCGGTCTCTCCTTGACACTCGCTGAGGTGAGGGCTGTTTGCGCACACCTGATGTTTGCACTGACTGCTGACTCAAAATTACTCACAACCAGACCAGTCCTTCGGTCATTTTTATGGTTTATACATATATAAGCCGTCAGGGAGCCCAAATTCTTATCATTTCGAGGTCTCAGCAAGACCTACCCGCATACCAAATATCTAGACCATTCATCTAAGACTTCTCGTGTTATCGTATTTACAGGCACTCACACCCACTCACACACACACACACACACACATGAACACACAGTACACACACACACCCACACTCACACACACACACCCACCCACACACACCCACATACACACACACACACACACACACACACAGTACACACATGAACACACACACACACACACACACACACAAACACACACACACACACACACACACGAACACACACACACCAGCTGTTTACACTGATTGCTGAGTCAAAATTACTCACAAACCAGACAAGGGCTTGAAATGTTTTTTTTCTGCGTCCAGGTAACATTGAAAATTACCTGCACCAGGCAAATTTTTCCTGCACCACTCAGAATTTCGAAAGTATGGATCATACTAAAAACTGTTCAGAAACAGCTAATGAGAATCCACAGACACCTACTTTTGTATAAACCCAATACACGGCCTGATACAGGCAGACATCAGAAATACCTGCACACTTCGAATTTTACCTGTACTAACCTGCACATGCATTTCCAGCCCTGCATACCCTGCCTTCATTTTTTAAAGTTTTTTTTAATGGTTTATGTCTGTTGTAAAACATTTGTTTGTAGAATTGGTCATAACCAACTCTGTCTATGCTAGTCATAGATTATATAAATGTGTGTGTCGCCTTCTTTTTCTTTGAGTTAAACTTAAAAGGCAAGACATACTTGATACTTTATTAGGATAGTTGCAAAAGCGACTGTAAAAGCAACAATGCAGAAATGTACATGTCTCCCTACCTCCATACGTCGCTGCCTTTGGAAAATGTGGATGTTTTGATGACTTCGGGAGCCATCCACGCGTACGTCCCTGCCGCACTCATGCGGGTCGTTCTGTGCATCTCCCTCGCCAGGCCGAAGTCCGTGATCTTCAGCGTCTTCCTGAACAAGTTGTCGGATTGGATCCGCTCGTCTAATAGAACTGCACACGAAAAAGAGAAAACATTCACGTCAATAAAGGTTAGACATCCTGGTAATCAGACACACAAGAAAACAGGTGTCCAAGAAACTAGATAGAGTTTGAAAATTGTCAGACATTTCACATCGCATTCAATGATCAGTTAAGTACTTGCTTGCGGGACTCAGTACATATTTCATAATTCTTTCTTTTGCTCCTAACTGAAAGGAAAATATCACTCAAAGAGAACTTCTATATATACATGTACCTTTCATATAGTTTTCAAACCTTTACCGAAATGGTAACAGGGTAACTACTTAAAGCTGCCTTCCTTGTATAGTCTTGATGGCCATTCCGTCGCCAGTAATGATTGTCATCAATGCAAAATTTTAAGTCTAGACTCTAAAGTTTACAAGAAACAAGCCCCGTGACATGTGTTGAGCACACCACACCTTCAAAATGCTCTTCTTACTAATTACACATTGAACAGACGCAGCGTAGAAAAGCACCTTGTAATTATTCTTTCCTCTCCACTTTGTCTTAATTGATCTGACAGGGAACACTTTGTTCTATTGTAGCGACCTTTCTACCAAAACAAACACGCGCAGAGGGAACAGGACAACACACCTTTTGTTTCGGTACAGAATAGATCTGATTGATACGGCGAGGCGTGTTATCTACTGACAGTGCATTGTTCAGGCTGGATGTGGGGTTCACCTGTGTTTAAGCTGAGACTTGGCTGGTGTGAAATACTACAGCATGTGTCCCTACACATTATACAGTCTGCACTTGTTTTATGTCCAGGGATAAATATACAGTACATACATTGGGCACGTAAGATATAATTTTCCAACTGTCATGGATCAGAACATGTACACACACAGGGTGGGGGTGGTCCTGGGATTCCTCAAGGAATAAAACACTATGGAGAAAAGGTGAAGTGAGGGAAACATTGCTCTTATGAAACATGTATATCATGAATCAAGGAGGTTTAAAAATGACTCTTTAAACCTCCTTGATTTTTTTAACCTCCTTGAATGAGTAAATCTCAACATAGAAAAACTCTAATTCAAGTAAAGCACTGTTCCTATGCTTCAATGTATGTTGAATTAAAGAGGTTTAAAAAATACCTTCAAACCTCCTTGTATGAATACATCTCAAACACAAGAAGTATGTATTTTTGTATTATAGAGACATTTTTAACTCATTGTCTTCCTACATAGGTTTTTAAATTTCAGGAATCCAAGAACCTCTTTGAGGAAGTTACAAACCTAACAAAGTGTCCAATGAGTGGTTTACAGAGCTTACATGTTCAAACTTACACTATGAAAGGTCATGTCATAAGTTATGCTGTCAAGAATAAGAACAGTTTATATAAAGTAAAGCCTGGAAATGTAGACAATGAGTTACAGCAGGGCAGTAACACCATTAAGCTGTTGTGGTTGAGGCCAGCTCTCCAAATAGATCAATCACGGATCACAAAGGAGAAATCTTTCCTGGGACGTCCCGGACAAATTTTGCGTAGGCGGAACAATCGTGTGGGCAGAGCGTGACAAAACGCAGAGGGCTACGGGCGACTCTCTCCAAACTTGTGTGACAAACTCGGCCGGAAGTCCCCCAAAACTGGACATAAAGGACAGGAAGTGGGGTGACCCAGACACACACAGGAGGCTGGAAATACAAACTGTAGTGAGGAAACCACATCTGATGGGCAGGCATGAGCTGGGAGGTGAGACAAAGGAGGATCACAAGTGATATCTGTCGGAGGAAGTCACCCTTCCATAGAGAACTGGACGCACTTATGTTCATAGTGTCAGTTTATAATGATGTACATACAAACAAGATTTATTGATTTTTCCCCACTAAACTGAACATACAAAACAAATTTTGGGAGGTGAGACAAAGGAGGATCACAAGTGATATCTGTCAGAGGAAGTCACCCTTCCATACAGACCTGAAGAAACTTATGTTTATGTCTTGAAAGTTCATCTGTGTTGGTAGAAGTCATTATGAAACAAGTTTGAACTGTAATTTCCAACATAAGAAACACAAGGACTTATATTCATGGTGTCAGCTTATGACATACGATTGATACAAACAAGATTTCTTGACTTTTTTCCCCTTAATAAACTGAATATAAGAAATGGATCTTGGGAGGTACACCTTTGTTTCCATAAAGTTTGTTAAATTACATAAGAAATAGAATGAATCATCAACAAAATAAACAACAGTTCTATGAACATGATACCACATGTACTAGTAAGTGTGTCTGCGAAGCCATTTAGGGTGATTTATTTATAACATGTCAGCTATACAGATACAGATAATGAAAATGTAAGCATCACATATTCAAAAAGTAAAGACGCCCAGTGAGTACATTGTTTAAGTTTTAAAGGCATCCCATGTACACAATTTTACAATTTCAATAGTTTCAAATTTCTATTTTGCCTTCATGAATGAAACGGAAAACAAACAAATAACACAACAGAGCCAGACTTTGTGATTTACAGCATCAGCTGCTCACAACACGAGTTTTGACCTTTAAAAATCATTTAGTGATCAGTTCGGCCAAGCGAGATAGGCGGGCCACGGCCTTGAGATGAAAGGTCAGTACATGTTTAGCAAGACCAGAACAATAGAGTCACCCAAGTCCCTGGCCAGCCGAGCGTGTCCTGTACAGCCAGGGCTCCAAATTCATCTTTGGGAATAGGTGCACTGCTACACCCAACCTAAAAAATTGGGTGCACAAAAAACTTTTTGGGTGCACCATCTCAGATAAAATACGTGGAATGTCAGCAAAAACTATAATTATGTTTCATCTCAAGAAAAGTACTATAACAATGATTGTATTATTTTTTACTGACACTTAGATGTTGTTAAGAAAATGCTTAACTACCATACATTTAACATCTTTACATACGTAAAACCTACTAAAGTATTTAGGTGCACCAGTGTACCCAAATACTTTTGTAGGTGCACAGCTTCAAATCTGGGTGCACTAAGGTGCACATGTACCCAGTATTTCCAGCCCTGACCTGTAGTGTGGAGCAGAGGTAACCAAAGCCTGGGGGGATAAACTTGAGAGACATTGGATAGCTTCTAAGAAATCCTCTCCAATGTGCCCTGACTTTCACAATGGCAGAAGTAGTCTGATTGGATTGTGGTATTTGCTTGGGTCCATTTGTAAATGCAGGGAAAACATAATATCCAAGCAGATCTTTCGGTGGCTTCAAAACAGTAACAAATTGGCCAGGCAGTATCCTATACACCACACAATAAAAGATACCAGTGCAAAAATGAAAGCCCAAGAACACGTCCAAAATAAGCCTAAGCCCAAACCTCTGCTTGGAGAGCAGGAAAAATTCCCAAACTTGGGTAGTGTATGTGTTACTAAGACTATAGTTACTGTACTTTTATCAGTAGTAGTGGCATATCAAACACTGTACTGATTTTTGTTCAAATTTTTGTCATGCTATAGATAATATGGAAATGTAGTATAACTATAAACATATGAAGCAAAATTTAAGGGTGGATGGGAGTATTTCTCTACCAGCTGGTACAAGAATTACAGGCGTGCAGCAGAGTTCAGGACCTCCGTAGGTGTGAGGGTGGGAGGGGGGTGGCAGGTTTGGGAGGGCTGCCAGGGATGGGGCCAGGAGGGCAGGACATCCCACGTTTGGAACAGGGGGGTGGGGTGCCTTAGCCATGTACTGTATACTGTACATAGATAGTAGATCTTGTACATTGTACTTTATTGAAAGCAACAAAAATATATTTATTACCTACACCACCGCACATACAACAATACTGACTGCATCATCCTCAAGGTATCTTCAAGCTACATGTAAAGCAAGGAAAGCTTTGGGTTTTAGCTTTTTAGCTATCACTCTCTTGAGTTATTTGCAGCCTGTTGGGGACACCCCTGTGCTCCCTGTATGTTCTGACATACATGTAGGGTTAGGGGTGTGGGAACGTAGGCTGAGTTGTGGGAGAGTGGGGGCGTCTGAACTGAGTTAGGTGAGTATCCCCCTGTCAGCTATCTGAGGGAGAGGGGACAGTAGTGGGAGGGGGGTGTCATGTCAGTAGAGTTGATCCAGGGGTGACCTGGATCCTTGGTACACCCACATATTACATAGCACTAGCAGTGGTAGATTTACTGCTACACAGAACATGCAGTTTGTTATATACATTATGATAGATAGTAAAGGGAAGGAAGAGGGGGCTCCAAAGGGGGGGGGGGGCTTGGGTGTACCCTGGGTTATCTGGATCCTTGCCTTCACTACACCCACATGTTACATAGCAGGGATAGATTTACTACTACACAGAACATGCAGTTTGTTACATACATACATGTGTTTGAATGCCTGGGCAGGTTTCATCTTCACACAAGTTGTTGGCATCAACAGATAGACTGGAGAAAAGTATTGAAACTTGTTTGATAAAACTGAGGGCTTTTGTTGGAAGACACTCGCATTTTTCTGTAGTTGCCATCTAACTAGTTAACTAGGACTTAGACCTAGGTCGTAATGGGCTTCCGTGTCTTCTGACACATGGGGCAGTGGGAGTTCCAGCAAGTTTGGTCAGCGGCCAGCCTATGTAGGTAACTATGACTCTAGTATGACTAAAATCTATCTTTATCTGTGTAATCATCTTTATCTGAGTAGATTAACCTCCTGGGGCAATGGTAGTGAATCATCCATTACTGGTATGTCACATTCAACTTACGACATCGTAATTTCTGTAATTTGATGTTATTTTGTAAGTCAGGGCTCGAAATTCATTTTTGGGAATAGGTGCGCTGGTGCACCCAACTTAAACAAAATTAGGTGCACAAAAATTACTTGGGTGCACCATATAAAATAAAATAAGTACAGTATCAGCAAAAACTAATTATGTTTAATTTCTAAGAAAAAGTAGTACAGTCAAGAATGATTTAATTATTTTTCTGACATTTAGACTAGGCTGTATACTGCTACACATCTTGACATACTTAAACCTACATTTACAACAAATTTTGGGTGCAC